GTGATCGGAACGCGGTCAATCTGTAGTGTTACATATTGTCCAGGAAAAACGCAGGATGCCGAATCATATTCGTCAATTTGACTCAGCACATTCTTCCTAGTTTTCTTGTAATTTTGAAACTGGAAGATGCGAGCATAATCGGAAGGCAGATTTTCCTTGGGGTCCCATGGAGATGTCCTAAAGCAAAGATTAGCAAACTGATAAATCAACGTCTCAATGATACTAAGGCAAAGGGAAACCTAAAGCTCTTGAGACCACGGAACTTCTGGAATCGAATTCTTGCAAGATCCCCGATAGGTGTATCGATTTCATCAGGGAACTGAGCATCTTCTCGTTCTCGACGATACTTTTCAACCTGAAGTTACTCTACTTCATTAGACGCTCAGTGATTTTCAAAAAAAAAGAACAAAATGAATCTGAAAAAGTTTAAGTAACTCATAGATCTGACAATACGTAGAACACTGCTACCAAAAAGTACCTCATCAAGGTCGTCAGCCTCATCTTCACCATCATCAGCTAATTCCGAAGCTAAATCGTCCATCTTTCCTTCAATGTCATGGTCTTCTGCGTCAGTGTTTTCATCTGCTTCCACTTCCATCTCGCCTTCAACACCAGCTTCTTCCTCATCTTCGTCCTATATTTAAGGAAACAATAAAGGTTGATGGATTTTCATTTTCTGAAAGAAAACGAACAAACTTCTTCACTATCTTCTTCACTACCCTCGCCACCCTCATCTTCCTCAAGAATCCATGCAGCCTGATAAGATGAAGTTCCTTTAGGGACATTTCGAGTTCCCGGAGCATTCCTCACTGCATTGCAAGAAATCGCTGACGAATGTAGATGGATAAACAATGTAGCCTACACTTTCCGTCATCCTTAGCATCATACTCATCAGGCCATGTCTGCTCAGCATCCATTGGATCAGGAACAATCTCTGACTGCAGTGACTCCCGAAGCGACTCGTCTGCGACTGCCAAAACCTTTGGAGAAGCTGTGTTCTCTTGAACCGTCCTTGAACTTTCCTGAATAAGAATTTTTACTGAATACCCACTGAAAACTGCAAGCTAACACATAAACCTTAATTTCCTAAATTTTGGATGAATATATGATCATAATCACATTCATGAGTGAATCAGTTGTACACAAAGAAAAATAAAGATTGAGAACCATACTGCTTTGAG